TGATCTGGGTGCGTTTCTGCCTCAAAAATAAAAAATAGTCGGTTGGAATGAAGACCGGAGACGCACTTTCGGCGCTTCGAGATAGGTACAGTCGAAGTCGGTGGCAATGCAGGTGCTACATCTTTCGCCGGGTATCTGCGACCCATCGCCTGCGTCATGATTTAATCTTCGAAACGTTTTAACTTGAGCCTGAAGCCTACATCGACCTATGGATAAATCAGAAATCAGACGGGAGCAATGAACAGGTTCATACTTTTCCTGCGCCGACAAGTATCACAGGCACGATCGAGGCGACGCTTCTTTCCCTGCGGATCTTCCTCGTTCGAGGACATCGCGAGAACCCCGAGCTTGGTGTCGTTACAACTTATGCTTGAAAGCAAGTAACAGCCCAGATATCTAGTACTACAAACCAGGGGACCCAAGGGATGTGGGTAGTTAGTTGGCAAGTGGAAGAGCAGAGAGGCGAGCACTGGAAAGCTTTGAGTACTCGGAAGAGGAGAAACGAGGAGAAAATGCTTTCGAATGCTTTCGGCATAGTCAGCGTGGTGCGTACGTAATCTGGCTGACTCCCCGGCAACGGCGATGGACTTTTTGGCTTTCTCTCGTTCCTCGCGCTTTTTGTTTACGGTTTACGATCTCTGTCTGTGCCGTCGATTCCTAGGATGGGAACCTCGCATACGCGGTAGGTAGGTAGGTAGGCGCAGGTTCCTCCCCAGCCGCGGTTACGAGGCTCACAATCTCAGTAGCGGTAGTTTTGATTTAATACAGAGAAATCTTGTCAGCGGAAATTTCGGACCGTGTTATGTGTGATGTTACAGTGACAGAAAGTTGGGGGTGAGCCTCTCCACGGCGGCTGGCGGATAACATTTGTAAACAGCATAGCCACAATTTCAAGAAATGCTAGAGAAAATCTGTTGTGGCCTTAGTCACTTCGATATAAAATGGCTGGCATACTCAGATGTCATCTATGAGCATATATAAGTGACTCCCGAAAAGATTTGAGCTTTAAAATATGACATTATGCTAATAGCCGCAAGAAAAGGTGATTTCTGTGTGTGTTTGCCTTAGCGAGTTTTATGCACAGGCCAGATGAGCCCCTAACTCTAGCCAGGCATTTTTCTAATTCTGGTATGTATCTTGAACCACTCATATAATTTTATATGTCATGTTGAAGAAGCCTCGCCGATTTTCTCTGGCATTTCTCGAAATTGTGGCTATGCTATTTACAGATGTTATCCGCCAGCCGCCGTGGAGAGGATAACCCCCAACTTCAAGTCACTATCACATCACGTTTTCTGGTCACACGTCAAAAAATCACAATTCTGAGATATCAATTAAACGACCACTACAGAGATTGTTATCCTCGTAACCGCGGCTGGGGAGGAACCTGAGGTAGGCGCGGAGCTGGACGATTTGACTTCGTGCCCACCATCTCGTTTCCAAGGCGTCCGTCCGGACACATATGTGTTCTGGCCACCTGGGCCATCGTAGGCCGGTTGGCTGTCCTCAAGGCCGGCCGCGCTTACATTTTCATCGACGCGAGTGATCCCCCGTGTTACTTGGAATCCGAGCGCACTTAGAGGTTGAGTTCTTCAGCCCGACATCCTCCACAAATCCTCCGAGATGATGGACGATGTCCTGCCAAGTTGGGGGTGAAGCCAAATCTGAATACTCGCACTTGTTTCGCCTAATCGCGGCTTTCTTGCTTTTCACACTCGGAAGTCGAAATTGGCCAAGCCCGTTACTAACCTGTATTACTTTGTTCTTTGAGTCCATGGACATCTCTCGAATCACTCCGAGTCTCAGGGTGGCTACATGATGGACATCCTGAATCCGGTCTCTCTGTCTACCTTCAGAGCCAGTCGATTCGGCCATTTGCAAGTATGAAAACGCCTCATTTGCCTGTTCCCAGGGCCAAGTGCCTCGCATCGGCAGGAAATATTAACATTATTTCCCTTCCCTCCACACTCGATGAAAATTAACCGTACAATAATGCAGTACACAGAACTCCAGCGTCCTCGTCCACATTACATCAATACTGCCGCTGATACGACGCCCCTTGCCCACCCATCCCCATCCCCACCTCCGCCTCCCACGTCCGCTCATCCACAACCTCCTCGTTCGCGCGGCTCTCCGCGCCCTCGATCCCCGCGATCTCACGGTCTGCGACGCAACAATTAACAACGATATCCTCACACAAGAAGAGAAGAGACGCACCCATCTCAGCACGCATAACAACGAGCCACAGCACCTGCTCGGGCGCGCCGTAGGGCGTCACCTCCGTGTTGTATCTTGGGTCGCCGCGCGCAGGGTATCCGGGCGCAGATGAGGACGAGGACGAGGGCGCGCGACTCATGCTCTGCCCCGCGAAGCCGATGAGGCCCGTGACGAGCCCGCCGCGGCGCCCGCCGTCCCTGTCCCGCCCCCCGCCGCCATACCCACCAGCCACCCCCCTCCCCGCCTGCCCTTGCGATGACGCCATCCGCTCGCCGACCATCCCCAACAGCGCGCGGATGGGCCCGTCATGGCTCCGCCTCCGCTCGCGCTTCCGGTCCTTCTTGTCGCGCTCGTGCCCGTCGTACCGCCCATCATCATACGCGTATTCGTCCGCGGAGCCGTACCCAGGGCCATAGCGCTCGCCGCCCGCGCCGAATCGACCCCCAAGCCCCCCGCCGCCCCGGCCGCCCAAAAGCCCCACCCCGCGCCCGATGAGCCCGTCGCCGAGCGGCAGCCCGCGCTGCTGCTGCTGCGCGAACTGCGGCGCATACTGATCGGGCATCGCATCCGCCGCCCACGCATCGCTGAACCGCACGCCCCATGCGCACATCGTGTCCCGCGCGCCCCTGGCGCGCGCCGAGGGCGGGAGCGCAAAGTCGAGCGGCATCGCGTGCCCCGCGAGCGCGGCGACGCGGCGCTGCGTCGGGGTCATATTTGCATTTGCATTTGCGTAGCGGGACGCGGGCGCGGGCGCGGCGGGTGCGCGCAGGACGAGGCGCTGCATCGCGGCGGTGGTGCAGATGCGCGCGACGAGGCGGCGCGGGTGGAAGACGCGCGTGTTTGCGGCGCGCAGGTAGCGGTCTGTGAGGGACTTGGGCAGGACGCGCGCGGGCCCGGATTTCTCGTTTTGGAGCGAGGTGTCAAGCGTCTCCCAGTGGTAGGGGCTGAAACACAGTTAGATGAATAAAAGCAAGCGCGGGAAGCGCTGCGACGCACACGAAGGCGAGGTCCCTGCCAGCCACGTCGACGACGCGCAGCGGGGTGCTCGCGGTGATGGCAAGGTTGAGTCCGTCCACGAAGTCGAGGAGCGCGTCCTGCGGGAGGTTGAGCGAGTCGAAGACGCGGTTGTACCCGCGTGCAAAGGGCGCGTCGACGCCCGGCGCGAGCTGCGGGACGCAGTACGGCAGGGGGATTCGCGGTGGTTCGAATGGGAGTTGAGATGGTGCGGGGGGGAGGAAGGATTGGATGAGGAAGTCGGCGTCGCGGGGGAGGTTTACGCCGGAGGACGCTGAAGGTGAGTATCCTTGATTTAAGTTGGCGGTGGGGGTGTACTCGGGCGGGAAGGTGTTGCTATTGGGAGGTGGGTAGGGAATTCCTGCGATGGCGTCGTATGCCATCCCTGAGTTGGTGCCGTATGCTATCCCTGCGTTGGCCTCGTATGCCATCCTCGCGTTGGCGTCGTATGACATTGGTGAACGGCGTATAATCCATGTCCCCTCACCCACGACCCGTTTTATAGGGCAGCGCAGTATTTGGGCGGACACAGCATTCATGGGCCGGGATGGAACACGATCGGTGCGGCGTCGCTCGGTGTTTGTTTGAATATTTTCATCTAGGTTGGGTACGGTTCAAATTCCTAAAGTTATAGTGCAGAGAGACCCCAAGCCCAGCGAGGAGATTCGACGCGGACCTCCATACGCTGGACAAGAACTGGGAGGGAGATGCGAAAGCCGAAAAAGTGAGGTGGGCTCGCTGACTCATTTGGGCAGCGCGTGATCAACTGTTGGGCCGAGCGGCAAAAGCGGGCCAACACCGAGCATGGCCGTGGCCTGTGGGCGCGTTCATCACTGGAGCACCAGATTGTTGTATAGGCAAGAACGAAGGCGCGTTGCATTCAATTCGAAGCATACGTGGGGGATTCGGATCACGCCGCCTGCGGAGTTTGAAGAATCCAAAGTCGGCCGGAGCCTATCCTCAGCAAGCTTTTTCCTCTGGGGTGAGTGCATTGTAATTGCTTGATTTTCGGTACCCACCAAAATCCTCGGTATATCTTTGCACTCATAGAAACAGAAAACCCCGAGAAAAAAGAAGGACATTTTTCGACTATGGCGGGACCTCGAGTCGAACGAGGAGCCTTCGGGGCAAACATTCTTACCACGTATGAACCCGACGCGCAGCGTGCGCTTCCCCGCCTTCCCTGCCTATTTCAACCTCTGTATAAACCAACGAAATTCGAACAAAGAGTTGCGCCAAGCCAAAGTGTGCACGGACCTAGTCAAGAGAGGAGCATTCGGAAGCAGTACTGACCGATTCCAAGTCTAATTGTAAATGGCCAGTCACCACTGAACAGGTTACACAAGTATCGGAAATAGTTGACTTGTGATGCCTACCAAAACAACCAGGAAATGGAATAGGGATGCTTGAAGCAATTTCCGGGTCAAGTGAGCAAAATAAATTTCTCCCTTTGTACTCCCCGGCGGGGAGTCGAACCCCGACATGCGGCGGAACTGCAGGACCTATTCCCAACGAAATGCCGCCCCGCACCGTGCACCACACGAGATTACGGTCCTCCTTATGACTCTGAATAACTCGGATCTTTTTTTGAAAAAAGATTACACGTCGATGCGGGATTACTCATGACATAGAATGAAGTTGAACTTCAAACGACTTGTCGAGGTCCCAGCCACTATTAATCGATTCCAATTGTAACTTGTAGTACCGAGGGCACGAAGCAAATTGGGAGTTGGAAGACGGAAAAATATACCTTCACCAATACCATTACTGTCCGGTACGGGGAGTCGAACCCCGGCATGCGGCAGAACTACCTTGAGATACTCCCCACGAAATGCCGCCGTGCACCGTGCACCACACCAGATTATGGGCCTCCTTATGACTTTGAGTAACTCGGATTCTTCTCGAATCACACGTTGCATGTCAGGAACTTCAAAGGACTAGTCGCGGTCTCCCGAGGCCTCTTCAGCTGAGATTTATGCAAAAAAATGCATAGCGTGCGGAGAGCGAACTACCAGCCATTATGCATTATGAGATTCACAAACTGGTGAAACACTGACTATCTGAACAAGGGTGAAAGGAAGCCAATGTATATCAATGCTTTAGAGCACCAAAATACACTAAACCACTCCAAACAATAAACGTGCAAGTACGGGGTCTAACCAAGTATTAGGTTAATGGTTGGGCTAAAACTATGTAATAGTTACTTTCGAGAAAGTAATGGTAACGATCCAAATAGCCGATCTAGTGACTCTGATGAGATCTAGAGATAGCCAAGAGGGTTTTATGCGACAAAGGTGGTGGAGTAAGTCCTAAGACTTTGTTATCCGTTCAGTGTTCTTGATATTCCTTATAATGTTCCGTGTTCTATCAATCCGTTTGCCTGTTATCCTTATGAAACCCGATATGACCCGATATGACCCGATATGATTCTGGTTCCCTTAAGCTTCTGGCGCTTAAAACAGATATGATCCAACAACCAACAATATATTGACCGAGAATAACAGAAAGAACAAACAAGTTCCTAATGGTACCCCGAATGAATACAAGACTTCCTCTGACGACAATACCAGCAATGCTGTGTACGTCTAGCAAAGAAGGGTGGATTCACTGGCTTTCCACTCGAAACCTGCCTGTATTTATACAAGAATTATACATCACATGATAAAAGGAATAAATAATACAATCAGCTCATTCTGGTATTACGGATAATCGGGCCCAGCTATTTAAAGACCCATGTATCATGAGGCGCGGATGAACGGTCAAATAAGAGCTCTATCCCGAGAGCCAGACGTCTATCTTTCTGTTTTAGGGTATTGCCATCATATCTTGATGGTCTTGATATCTTTGGACGTGCCAAACATGGTTCATCCGCGTAAATTGTGGTAGAGATTGCCCTGGCCAACCAGCTTAGACCAATGGTCGTTAATAGACTGGTTGACCTGTATCTCCTGCCTGATGACGCCTTTACCGCCCAATATGTCCCGCGGTCAAAGCGTTGATATGGAGAATTCCGGTATCTAATCTGTCGGCTATCTCCGGATATCCGGCCTGAATGCCTCACTTGACAGGTTTTCCTGCAAACATGATCCCCAACGTTCCCCTGACGCGTCCTTCGACGTGTTTATGGTCTGAATGGATAATGTGTGTTATGTCCTTGATATATGGCGCACAATATGCGTCCCAATTCGTTCGAATGGTTGGATTTGTACTTTCGAGTAAGTCCACCGTAGCCTAATAAGCCATTGACCCTCGTGGTATCGGTGACTTATTAGGTCTTTACAGTGAACCTTACTTCAATGCTCCTTTATGTTATATACCGAGCCGGGGTGGACCCGAAGAGTAAATGACCGAGTGACCGGAGGCTCCGGTATGTCGGAGCGTCGGAGGGCCGGAGGGTCCGGAACGTATGCGAAGGAAGATCACAACACCACAGGGGGTCAAGGGTGAGTGACTACCCTAACCAGCAGGTATCCGATGGAGGAAGACAAGTCGGAGTACCGGAGGGAACCGGAGAGGACGGAGACGACTCAGTGCAAGGAAAGTGAGCCAAGCAACGTCAATTATCAATCTGACGTACAGGACATATTAAAGACGTATTTATACTAAGTATCTAATTGTATTCCATAAAAGGAAGGAGAGTGGTTCTTAACAATAAGTCAAGTCAGATGGGCTGATGAGAAGTCGTATGACAATAAGTGAAAAGGAAGGAAGACGGATAAACGGGAAACGCTCAGTAATCCTTCATTGCGTAAAAACCCGATGGTACCGGATGGTTCGGAGGCTCTGGTAATATACCGGAGCCTCGGAACCTACCGGAGCTACCGGAAGGTCAACGAGAAGATTGGGGATCCTGCATGGATATAACAGTATCCCCCTCTTAGGTTCCTCTCCCATGAGGAACCCAAAAAGAATGAGGTTTGTCGAACAATGAAGAAGCGTGGGAAAATAAACAAGATCAAAAAGTCACGTGCTGTTGGTTTTGACTCAGACCTTTCTTTCTTTCGCACCACGACCATCTCCGGTACTAAAACACCACAACACGATGTCGAGCAACGGAAACAGCGACAGTGGGCGCGAGGGGTCCAGCAACAGCAACCGCAGCGATGCCGGCAACGGCAAAAAATCCGGAAAGGGGAAGGCGCGAGCGACGACGGCGGAACTGCGCGAGGAAGCCGCGCAGCGCTTCTACGAGGAGCGGGAGCAACGCCGGCGGGTGCTGATCGCCGCGTACCAGGAGCAGGCGGTGGAGGCCTCCCACCGCGCGGAGGTCGCCCAGGAGGACGCCGCTCGTGCGCTCCAGCTTGCTCGCGACCTGGAGCTGTTAGACGCGGAGGCTCCGGCATTCAACGAAGTGCCGGCGATCGAAACGCTGAAGTCAGTGTCACCGGAGCGTGTGGAGGGAGGAGGCGAGTTGGACGAGCTGAACGATGAGGACGACAGCGACGTCGAGCAGGAGGGGGAGAACGGTGCGTCGCAGTGAAAACCGGAGGTTCCGGTACTAACGGTTTTGATTTTCGTAGTTTGCGACTCTTGCCGGAAGAGCGGGGAGGTGTGCGTGGTCAAGGCGGGACGCACCGCCTGCCGCCGGTGCCGTGCGAAGCACATCCAGTGCAGTCGCGCGCGGCCCCTCGGACCGCCTCGCGTCAACAAGCGACGTGCGGCACAGGAGGCCCGTCGCCAAGGGTCCGCACCGGTTGCGGGGCCCTCGCGGACGCGCTGGAACCCCCGAACGGAGCGGGGGGACTGGAGCGACCGCGAGGTGCGCGATCGCACGCGGAAGGAGCGGGAACGGAGGGCGCGGAAGGCGGAGGGCAAGGAAAGTGTGCGAGGGAAGCTCCGGGAGCTCGATGCCCACGTCGGGTACCTCGGGGAGCAGGTGGGGCGCACCATGTTGCGCTATAAGCTGGCATACCGGGCGTGCCAGCTTATTCTCAAGACGCTCGCAGCGCCGGAGAGTGGTCGGGAGGTGCCGCCTGGGGTTGAGCGGATGCTCTGGTGGATGGCGGCCGATATGGAGGCCTCCAAGTGGGACTTCTCCCTTGCGGAGGCGGCGGAGCTCGACCTGGCCGCCGAAGAGCCGGAGATGGACGAGGATGCGCCGCCGGCGAAGCGCCAGAGGCTGATGAAGCACGGAAGCCCCGAGGTGGCGGAGAAGGAGATGGAACCCGTCAAGTCGGAGGACTCGGAGGCGGAACCGGAGGCTCCGGTTGCGCCCCGAGCCCGTTCCGAATCCTGGCCGGAGGATTTCCGGTCCACGGACGGCGGGGAGGATGAGAGGATGGAGGTGGACGCGCCTGGGGCGCTGGAGGGGCCGGAAGGGCCCGAAGAACAAATCGCCGCGACGTCCCGAGTTGCGAGCCAGGCTGCGGAGGCGAGGACCATTACGGTCCTTACCTTCAAGCCCGACCCCGAGCCTGTCCCACCTCCGCCGCCCACTCCTTCGCCAGCACCGGAGCCTCCGGTGCAGGTGAAGAGTGAGTCGGAGGTGCGTGAGTTCCAGACTCTCGTGCTGCAGCCGGGAGCGCCAGCCGGATTCCACGAGGAGGATGGAGTCTTCGTGATGGACGATTCGGATGAGGAGATGGGGGAGCCGGAGGCTCCGGAAAAGCCGGAAGCGTCCGGAAGTACGGAGTGAAGGCCCTGGAGGCCCAAGGACAAAATAGACATTTGTAAATATATGAAATGAGTGTTGTATTTTGAATTGGTTGAATTTTGTTTTTCTTGATTTTAATTTTTTTGGTGATGAGTTAATATTCGGGTCCGGGCTTATTTGGAAAGCGCCGGTGAAAGTTGTCGACATGTTCGGCCGCGTTCAAGTCGTCCGCCGCAACCCAAGCATACTGATCGTCGGTATTCTCGTATCCGAGCCATTCGACGTAGTATCGGAGCTTTGTTCGGAACCTCCGGTCGATCTTCGAGTCAACGATTTGCTTGATTTCGAAGTGTGACTCGCCGTCAATGATTTCTACGGCTGCCGGAGGCGGCTCCTCGCGTCCCGGGAATGGGTTCGGAACGTGCGGTTCGAGTTGGGAAATATGGAAAACTGGATGGACCTGTGACAACGATTTCGGAAGCCGAATGGTGTAAGAAGCGGTACTGGGTTTGCCAATAACTTCGTAAGGGCCAAGGTACGTCTCCGAGAATTTCGGAGTTGGCCGGCTGGTGTGAAGATGCTTCGCGAGGATGAAAACCTGATCGCCGATCGAAAGCAGAGGTTGCGGAGCGCGTTTCCGGTCTCCGGTTTCCTTGTACCGCTCCTGGGCAAAAGTGATTTGCTCCCGGAGGAACTGATGCAGTTCCTGAAGATCAACGACAAAATCCTTGGCGTACATGTTCGCAACGTCACGCTCCGGATGGACCGTGATTGCCGGATTGTAACCCTTGTTGGCGAAGAAGGGGGAGATGCCGGTCGAAGCATTCGGAGCGTTGTTGAGAGCAAATTCCGCAAGCGGAAGGAGTCGGTCCCGATCGTCCTGTTGATACGAGCAGTAGATGCGGATATATTGTTCAACAGTCTGATTCATACGTTCCGTTTGACCGTCAGCCTCCGGATGATAACCGGAAGTGTAATGGATCTCCATATTGAGAAGTTCGCCCAGCGACCGGAAGAAGGAAGCGATGAATTCGGAGCCCCGGTCGCACGTAACATGTGCCGGAACACCGTGTTTGGAAAAGACGTGAATGAGGAAGAGGCGAGCGAGCTCCGGTGAATTGATGTGGGTATCGCAAGGAATGAGAATGACCTGTTTGGATGACCGATCAACAATCACCAAAGTGCAGTCAAACTCGCCGGAGAGAGGGAGTTGCTCGATGAAGTCCATGGAAATGGAATGCCAAGGCCGGAGCGGAACCGGAAGGGGT